GGCGGCGGCGGCTGCGCAGCCTGGAGGAGCTCCCCTGGCTGGGGAGGCTGCACACTTTCTACCAGCTGTTCGTGCAAGGCTATGTTCTGCGACTGCACGAGCTCCAGGTAATAATCGTGGGGCGGTGGAGGGGGGGGGCTGGTGGGATCTGGGATCTGAGAGGGGAGAAGGGAGAGCGCTGGGACAGACACGCTGGAGATGAGGGAGATGTGGGAGAAGACGTGAAGGATTCGGGATCTTCACTGGGCACGGGCTGAAGTGATGGTGATAAACTGGAAATGTGTAGGCAGAGCCTCCCTCCCCCCATGGAGACAAACAGTGACCCGGAAGCAGGAGGGTAGGAGTCGGGGTGGCTTGGGGGTGACTTAAGGTGGACGAGGAAAAGGAATCTGTTTCAAAAGAGAACTGTGCGTGCTAGCGTATACATTGGAAGCAGATGTGTGCTCACTATCCAGTTCTTTACTGGTATTGGCTACCAGACTTCTTGATTCCAGAAAGTAAATTCAGGAAGATTACAGAGACTTCTCAGCAGTGTGCAAGATAAATTTCCCCGCTGGGACGGGGACATGTTCCCTAGGAAGTTAAAGCAAAACTCTAGGCAAAGGAGCTTCTGACTGTGGCCGCATTCAGGATGGAGCAGCAGGTGGAAGTTACACTTGCAGAAAGCCAAAGGAGGAGTTGAAGGAGGGGAAGAGGACTTAAGGATTGAAGGTCCAAAGGGCCAGCAGCCAGGGCTACCACTTTTGTCCCTGGGAGTTGGCAGCTGTCACTTCTGCTGTCCCTGTTGGCCTCACATTCCTAAGACTTGGGGGGCAGGGTGCAGGTGCTAGTTACTGAGAGTTAAGCCAAGAAATGAGGGTCCCATGACCCTCTCCTACCCCATCCAGTCTCTAGCACTGTGAGTCAGGTGATTGCTGGGGACTGAGGGCTTCTCAGGGCTTTGTTCAGGATTAGCTGTATCGCAGCAACTCCCCAGGAAATTCTAGATAGTCCTAGGAGGAGAAACAGGAAGCAGGAGAAAGCCAAGAATGGGGTGGTGATGATTCCCAACCCCCACTCCCTCATTCCTGGGGCTTGAACGCAGGCTCTGGGCTCTGACACTGAGCTTCTCTTGCTTAAGGTTTGTGCTCTACCACTTCTGCCTTTCCTGAGTAGTTTATTGGAGATAAAGCCTGGGCTGTCTTTGAACTACAATCCTCAGATCTCAGCCCCTCAGTACTGTAGGATTCCAAGAATGAGCCACTGGTGTTCAGCTGTATGTGTTTTTCTTTTCTTTTTTTTTGGGGGGGGGTCCAGTTGTGGGGCCTGAGCTCTGGGCCTGGACGCTGTCCCTCAGCTCTTCAGCTCAAAGCTAGTGCTCTACCACTATGAGCCACAGCGCCACTTCCGGTTTTTTTTTTATGTGGTGCTGAGGAATCGAACCCAGGGCCTCTTGCATGCAAGGCAAGTGCTCTACCACTGAGCCACCTTCCCAGCCCTTGTGTGTGTATTTCTTAAAGCTTTTTTCCAATCAGTCTCACTCTGTAGGACTTTTTTGAGCACTGCCCCTCAACTCCAGCTCAAGGTGAGCGCTCTACCACTTGAGCTACAGCGCCACTTCCGGTTTTCTGGTGGTTTATTGGAGATTACAGTTTCATGGACTTTCCTGCCCGGGCTGGCTTTGAACCTCGATCCTCAGATCTCAGCCTCCTGAGTAGTTAGGATTACAGGCGTGAGCCACTGGCGCCTGGCTGTAGGATTTTTTTTTTTTTTTAAATAGGGTCTTGCTATGTAGCCTAGGATGGCCTCAAATTTACTGTTCTCCCGCCAGGTGTAAGCCATTTCAGCCCAGATGAGCAGACTCCAGGTATACCCTGAAACCATCCTGTTCTGTAAAGACTCTGTGATGAGAGAAACAATCTGGAATCTTCTCGGGGCTCTCTTCCAGCACGCTAATACACATCACTGGTTTTTCCTTCCCACCTGAGACCTTCCTGTGCACATTTCTATTAGCAATCTCATCATCACCCCTTAACCAATCTCTCATATCTAGGTCTTTCCCTGTCTCCTGGTCTTCTGAGCCTTCATCCAGAATTGCCCACCATGCTTTGTTTAGAGAAACAGAGCCTTTGCCTAGCCTTTTCCCTCAGACTTTTCCAGTCTTTGCTCATTACCTAGTTCCAAAGTCACTTCCACATTTTCAGGTGTCATTATTCCAACATTCCTTAGTAGTCTTCTTTTGTAGTCCATTTTGGGTTGCTGTAACAAAATGCTTAAGACCTGAGTGACTTACAAAGAAAAGCAGTCTATTTGGCTCATGATTCTAAAGGGTTGAAAAGCCAAACAACATAGTGCTTGTGTCTGGAAGGGTTCCCTGGGCTGTGTCACAATAGTGGAAAAATACAAGCAGAAGCATATGTGTGCAAAGAGGGAGCTCACAGCCTGGTCAGGAGACCAGGGAGGGACCAGGCATGCTCTTTTATAATAGTCCCTCGCCCCTTGTTTTTTTTTTTTTTGCCAGTCCTGGGTCTTGAACTCAGGACGTGGGCACTGTCCTTGAGCTTCTTTGGTTCAAGGCTAGCACTCTGCCACTTAAGCACAGTGCCACTAATGTTTTTTTCTGTATATGTGGTAATGAAGAATTAAACCCAGGGCTTCATGCAGGCTAGGCAAACACTCTACCACTAAGCCACATACACAGCCCCTGATAGTCCCTTTCATAGGAATTAATCCCACTCTTGTAAGATCTTTATTAGTCCTTCCATTATGATGGTTGCAACCCATTCACTTTCCTTTGGGTTTCATCTCTTAAAAAATTAAAAATTTTATTTACTTATTTTTCCATCCTGGGTCTTGAACTCTGGGCCTGGGCACTGTCCCTGAGCTCTTCAACTCAAGGTGAGCACACTACCACTTGAGCCACAGCACCACTTCCTGTTTTCTGGTGGTTAATTGGAGATGAGTGTTACAGACTTTGCTGCCTGGGCTGGCTTTGAACTGTGATCCTCAGATCTCAGCCTCCTGAGTAACTAGGATTATAGGCGTGAGCCACCAGTTCCTGGCAGGTTTCATCTCTTAAAGGAACCGCCACATTCCAACATTGGGGTCCAGACTTTCAGTGTATGAACTTTAGGGGAAACAAAAGCAAGGTTCATGAAGTCATCAAAGCTACAGTTTCATTTTTCTGCAGTTCTTTTGGCTCTGCTGTCTCACAGAATCTGGTTGCCTGGTTTGGCCTGGGTTAATTGCCCATCCCTGAACCCCTTATAAGGGCTAAGTAACGTGGCCCCTTGCAGGTTCACCCTAAAGCCGGGGGTGAGGTCCTTTTTAGTGAAATCAGGTGTCTGCTGCTCACCCAAGAGGGAGGGATGGAATGGGTATAGGCAGCCAACTACAATGTCTTCTGCTTCCTCCATTGTCAAAAGACAGCACTAGCTGTTACTCAGTGGTACAGACCTCACCTTGCAATGCATGAGGCTCTGATTCAATCTCCAGGGCCACAGAGCATGAGTAAATAAATTAAAAATACCTGCATTATCACACATGAAAATAATGAAATGAGCCAAGTGCTGGTGGCTCACACCTGTAATCCTAGCTGCTTAGGAAGCTGAGGTCTGAGGATCACAGTTCAAAGCCAGCCCAGGCAGGAAAGTCAGTAAGTCTCTTATTTTCAATTAGCCACCAGAAAACTGGAAGTGGAGCTATGTCTCAAGTGGTAGAGCTATGTCTCAAGTGGTAGAGCACTAGTCTTGAGCAAAAAAGAGTTCAGGGACAGCGCCTAGGCCCTAAGTTCGAGCCCCACAACCAACCTATCCCGCCCCCCCCCCGCCCTCCTCCCCCCAAAGAAAATGACATGAGTGTTGGGAAGCATTGTAGGACTCAGGGAATGGGTAGGATCTGGGACATATAAAGTTTGTGTTACTTCAATGGTACCAGTGCCTCTTTCAAGAGTGCTGGGAAAACAAGAAATGTGTCCCAATGTTACGATTATATGTCAATTCCAATGACATCTTTATCTTTCAAAGATGCTGCTTCTGAGAACAAGGAGAAGTTTCCATTCTGCAGCTGTTATTGGGACTACTTGAGTTGGGACCCCTCCTATGTCCTCCTCCCCCATACCCCAATGTATGCATTTGTCATTGTCTCATGTTTCTTAATCACTTCCGGTCTATGTGGCTCTGAGACTGAACTGGGAAGTTCCGAGGTCTTCACCACCTCCTTTCCTTCCAGGCCAGACACAATCTGCGGCATAGGGAAGGCACCAGGCATGTTTGTGAACAGTTGACACAACTGCTAATAATCTTTGAGACATTTTCTTTCCAACTCCCTGACCTGTGAGACAGGGAAGGAAGGATAGTGAGGGAGATGGGCAGACTGTCTTCAGTATTTCTAGTGCTGAAGTTAAATTTGGTCAACCAGTGCAGGTTATTTATTATAATTTTTTATTATTATAGAGGTGATGTACAAAGGGGTTACAGTTACATAAGTCAGGTAAAGAATACATTTCTTTCTTTCTTTTTTCTTTTTGAAGCAGGATAACTTAACTTTGAAAGCAACTCAGAAATATGATACTTAGAAACTTAGAAATGCTATCTTTTGCTTCAGAGAGAGACATCAGGATGTATTCCTTCCTAAGGGATGCATTTCTCATCCCAAGAATTAATGCCAGGTATGAGTAGAGCAAAGACAAAGGATCTATCTTTGCATAACACTGAAGCCAGAACCCCTGCATCGTTTACCCTATAAATAACCCAACAGCTCAAAGAGCTGTGTGTCTCTCTGGGTGTCTGTGTTTCTCTGGGTGCCTATGTTTTTCTCTTTTTTCTTTTTTTGGGGGGGTCTGGTCGTGGGGCCTGAACTCTGGGCCTGGGTGCTGTCCCTCATTTCTTCAGCTCAAGGCTAGCGCTCTACCACTTGAGCCACAGTGCCACTTCCGGCTTTTTTCTTTTTTCTTATGTGGTGCTGAGGAATCGAACCCAGGGCCTCATGCATGCAAGGCAAATGCTCTACCACTGAGCTACCTTCCCAGCCCTCGTGGGTGCCTATGTTTTTCTGTATCTCTCTCTCTCTCTCTCTCTCTCTCTCTCTCTCTCTCTCTCTCTCTCTCTCTCTCTCTCTCTCTCTCTCT